GAAAAAAGCCCTGCAAAAAGCACTGGAAGTGGCTTGGCGACTTTTTGCCCGCATGTTGCCCCGTGGGAGAGACTGCGCACTGGCCGGTGGACGAGGAAGCTTGGAGAACGGGACATGCAGATTCAGCCTTCCCGACAAATGCGATGAGCGTGGCAGGAGCGACGTCGTCTGTTGGACAAACACCTGTCCAATCGGGGGAAGCATTGCACTGGTTGCGTGCAAAAGTTGGGGTTCACGCAGGTCTACACGAACATCCAAGATACATGGGTGCTAGTTGCAACTAAGAGGCTCTGAAGCACTGCTTGGATCATGAAGCTCGCGGATGCAGGAGACATATGGCCGAAGAGGCAGTCTTCGGGGACCTGTTGCACAGTCGAAGCTTGATACTTTTCGAGAGCGTCCTGTGCAGCGCAGGAACAGTGTGAGAGTTGACAGAACAAGCCTGCTCCAGGAATTCCCACATGTCGAAGTAGCGGACATTTTTCGAAACATACCTGGCGTTCCGGTCGACGCATTGAATGCTAGCAGCGGGCGAGTGACATAGACATATACTGCGAGTGATGAATTAATGTCGCAAAGGTCTCTCCTAGAACTTGCAGCTTTGGTGCGGTCTGAACTCCCGCTTCATGGCTTGATGAAGGTGGACGTAAACTGTGTTCTGGTACAACTCGCTGCAGTACTCGATCTTACCCAAGGCACGCGGCAGGATTAAGGCGCAGTCTTTCACTTTCTGAGACTCCGGCCGATGTCACGGTACATCCATGCACAGCAGCTCGCCCAGAATTGCAGAATGTTTGCAGCCTCTGCGCCATCCTGGATGGAAAAAGTCAAAGCTGCGCAGATGCAGACGAGATAATCACAGGTTCAAGTTGAGGTCCTTTGCATTCCTTCCGTGAACACTGCGAGGATGGCTTCAAGGCCCAAGCCCGCAATGCTGGGCCTGGCATTCACACCGCTCTCATGAGCTCTCAAGTCTCCAAGCCTTGATGAAGTAAAAACAAAAGGGCATTGCCAGCCTGGTGTCACACCAGTCGAGAGCACAGCCCTTGGCATAGCCGTACCAAAGGCCTACTCCCACGATCAGAAATATCGGGCTTTGTTTCCAGCCTCCTGCAATGCACACAGGGCCCTCAAATCATGTGTGGAGGCATTTGCATGGATGCTCCTGTCGAGAGCATGTCAAGCGCCACCAACCCACTCTCTGCTTCATCCCAGTACTCGGCAATGAGATGGGTCACACGGATCCTGAGTCAAGGATACGCGCTTCGCCAGCTTCGCCATGTGCCATGTCTAGCGCTCTTCAGGCGAGCATCTGGCCAGAGCTGCTGTTGTAGAGAGGCGCCTCTGCCAGTCGAGCATATACCCGAGGCAACTCCACGGCATCGTGTGCGTCCGAGTGTGCACCTGTGAGAAAAGCACGCTGTCTTGGCGGCTCTTGCTCATTCCCGTCCCTGACTTCAGGCTTCCAAGATTGCTAGAGTATGAGTTCAAAGAGCTCACGTGTCATTGCATGTCATTGCTACTCTCAGCCTACGTGTCACAGCCGAATCTTTGGAGCCTCGGTGGTCTTCGACTTTGTGCCCACCCTCGAACCCCACCACCTTGTGCCTTGGCGCAGCAGTGTTGGTCCAACACAAACGATGCTTCAAAGAAGTCCTTGCTGTCCAGGCCACACTACCCTCCCATCTTCGATGACCAGATCAAGAAGGTGCAAATAGACTCCTTTTTGTGAATGGAAATGTCAGAGCATCAACATGGTTCGATCGAACAGAGCACGGACTACTTGCTAGCTCCAGCTTCACCAAAGCCACCGTCTTGTTGAGAACCCAGCCGCAGCTCAGGTATGAGCTGCAGCACACTGCAGCCATGCTTCCATCTGACACAAAGTCATCCCGCAAAGAGTCCAGGGCACCAGGGGCGAGAAGATTTACCAGCTGCTGTGTCCACACAGAGGCTTGCGATGCTCCAATCAAGACAATCCAACTGCCTAAGCTGAAAGCTCCGACTCCGCGCATTGCGACAGTGTGCACGCTTCACGAGGCCTGCGAGGCAGCGCTCCATGTGGGAAACCTCCCGGACGCCCAGTCGACAAGGGGTCTCCTGCAACTGGAAATCCCAGGCATCCTCCACCTCGGAACGGCGCTTTGACCCTTCGACGCTCGCATGGCGGCACGGCGAGCTCCTCGGCTCCCTTTTCCTAGTATGGACCGCTTAGTGCGAGGTGAAGGACATAAATCTCGTTCAGGCAATGGCAGGCCGAAAAGCGTGCGTCACCGTAGTATTGACAATTGACCACGTTGCGACCCGTCTAGAGTTTACCGCACTTGTGCGATTGCGATGTCACTCGATGCGTTTACTTTTCTTTTCAGGAGGGGCGAGAACGTGCTTGACCCCAGACTTAAAGTTGCAGCAGAGATGCCATCTCTCCATTAGCCAGCCTTCCTGCCAAAGCGAAGACACGATTCGAGCCGCACAGCGACAAGCGACATGCGAATGGCGCCAGGCCTCGTCGCTCTATAACGCTGCCCCAGGAAGGAACCACTGGCATGCGACCACACACTGGGGGTAGAGGCTTTCCATGCACTGGCACCTGGCACGCATTCTTGTGCAGTACAGATCTCGCTACACGGCGTTGCAGGCATCGAAGGCGTTGGAAGAGCCAGGTACAAGTACTCGCACGCATGCAATCTCACCAAAAACTGCCCACCTTCGCCTCCATTACAGTCGACATTCTCGGCACACAAGTCTCTGCGCCAATGGTGTGGCCGCAAGCTCGGATAACATCCCAGCCTTACAACATGCACTGCAGAAGTGCAGCACGGTGCCACTTGCAGAAAGAAGGATGAATTCCAAAACTTCTTGAAGCTGGGTTGAGCTCCGAAAGTAACTAGGCGTGTCAGGAAGCCACATCATGCCACACCGAGCAATCGTGTGTGAGCTAGTCGCAGCCAATCCTGGAAGGTTCAATTATCCCAAAAGAGGGCTGGAAAGGTGGAAATGCCGACAAGTTGCATTCTCTGAAGACTCCATTCTTCCAGGCACTATTGCCTGCAACGCTGCCACCAGAGATCCCCGACCCCTGGTCGGCGTCTGGGAGGCCCTTCGTCTTGCACTTTCGAACACATCCCGTCTCCCTTCCCCTTCTCCTACTACGTCATGGACGCTCCCACTTTTCCCCACCCTTTCCATCCCCTTCGGGACCAGAGCACGCCGCCCCTTTCTCGTCCGTTAAGAACCTGAAAGCACAAGTGCTTCACAGCACCACAAGTCTTTGTTTAAAAGGATCGGCGGCAAAGGCATCAGCCACCAATCGGGCGGCGCAGCGGGACTTCAGCTGTGGGATTGGCCGCGAAATGTGCGCATGTTTATGGCCGCGATCCGGGCATGTTTTTGGACGGCGTGGTGCAGCGGACCCAAGTCCGATGAAGCTGCTTCCGCCCGCAAGGGTGGGCTCATGACACGTGCCTTTTGGGGAGCCTGGATCGCAGCAGGAATTTCTGGGAAAGAAAGGTATATCGGGCTGGCTGCCCGCACCTGGCGCAGCCTTCCGCTCCCCAGCGGGGGCCGGGGTCAAGATTCACATGACGCGTTCAGATCCTGACGAAGGGAAGGGATCCTTACCGGTAATTCCTTAACGGCCCTAGCGGGACTTGGAAGCTGGGTCCCCATTGGCGCCGACCCTTTTTCTGGCCCACCCCCTTCCCCCCTCATGCGCACCATCCAAGTCTTTTTGCTCGTTTTGCCATGTCTTCCGCCCTTCCAAGGTGTTGGCTGGACGGCAGCATCACCGGCATAGCTCGGCTTCCTTGGCACGTTACGCCTTTGTGGCTGCGAAACACGCGAAAACACTGTAAAAAAACGAGATTTTTCACAGTTTAGAGATGAGATGGTTTGAAGCAATAACCGGGAAAGATCGCATTCAGCAGAATCTGGGTGCGACAAGATGCGCACATAGGCCCCGAGACGGCCAGCATCAGCATCAGCTGCGGTCTTTGGCGGGCCCCGGTTGCTCCCCCCGCCGCGCCCCCCGACAACGTCCGTGTCCATGCCCCGTGCCGACTCAGATCATCTGCGAACAGTTTTGGGGAGCGGCCGCTGATTCGCCGCAGGCGTTCTCGATAACATGCCACCTTGACAATCTCTTGGCAGTCAGTCCGAGTCCTGCCTGTACCAGCCCAGGCAGGGCAATGTTTGTGACGTGAATGGCTGCCGGCTGACTGGGAGACTGCTTTGGCCCAGATAGCTTCACAGGGCTTGTCTCCATCTTTGTCTAAGAACCGGCCAATCCTTTGATTTTCGACATTCAGCCAGCAACTGATACTACGCACGCAGGCTGCACGTTGACGTCAGCATCGTAACTAAGGCTTCGACACGCCAGCCACACCCTCAATACATGGCCTCGGAAGCGGACGGTCTCAAATTTGGACGCCAACTGATCTCTGATTCCGTACCAAGCCGCTGCGGGAGGTTGCAGGCCTCAGCTTGTCTTGAGGGAAAGATCTATCCGTTTTGGACCTCCGTGTTCGTCTGAGGCCAAGCGGCTGAGAGACCGGTCACGTACACCAAGAGTGCAGCACGCACTAGCATGAACCAACGAAGTGAGGGCTCCAGCGTGGCATTGCTTCGAACCGGCTCCAAATCGGAACGAGGGCTAGTAAGGCAGAGGTCTGGTGACTCCGGTGACGCCATACTCCACGTGCTTGAGGTTGAAGGTGTAACGCTGTGGTTCTGTACTATCTCACTTCAACAGGTCCTGCTGCACAGAGCTCGGTTTAAAGCTTCAAAGATGCTGCCCTTGATCATTGCCAAATGGCTCGACGAGAAATCTCTTGCCTCGATCACCACCCACAAGCTGTAGGAATTGATTCACACGCTGCCTAGACAAGACGCAAACCACAAATGTTGAAGCAGGCAAGCATTTTGCTTGCGGATGGCTCGCAGGTGCATTAACAAGGTATATACTGACCCTCTGCTGCAGCAAGCACTGCTTCAGCGAGAAGTCAGTAACCTTCATAAGGTATCGCCTCAGCAAGCAGGGCAGCCCGCAAGCGCACAAGTCTGCAGGCATGGGAACACAAGGAGGGCGTTGTCGAGCCAAGACCGTGCACACAAACACAGGTCAAGACGTTCAGAGAGTTGTCAGCGTCTGCAAAGACGGCCCAGCAATGGGAGCCTGCACACGAAACGTCCGCACGTGTTGCCGCCATGACTGACCTCCTTCTGCCGCGAATCGTTACGTCGTTGATGCCACGCAACAGCCATGCACATGCCAGGGTCCAAGCAGTACAGATCACCCGGAAGGTTGTCTGCCTGGAGTGTCGGATTGCCCAAAACATAGAAAAACCACTGGTGCTTCTGGAAAGAAGCAGCGAATATCGGACAAGTTTAGTTCGAGGCAATGTGCTGAAACAACACCTTGGCATATTTGGACCAGCTTCTCTGCGGAAATGCATGGCAGTTTGCTCACGAGACTCAGGCCTCAGCACTTTTGACATGACCAATGCAGTCCTCCCTCTGTGTGCATTGCGGGTGCCCTGTACGTCTCACGGGTTGGGTCGCTCGTGACCTGAGCTTGGAATGTCTGCTTGTCTCGTGAGCTTGTGGGCCGGCACAGTGCAGTCCCGGGAACCACTTTTGCGGCCCCTGGCCTTGCTTTCCAACGCCGTAGCTTCCGCCTTCTCTGAACTCTTTGCCAAGCGGAATCAAGCGCAGCATGTTCGAGCCAGGTCGCTGAAGCCGTGATCGAGAGGTCTCTTTTGGCCTCGGCTTGAGAAGGCGAAGCTCACGAAGGCATTCCGACTCTCGACGGCTCCCGCCTTGCGGCTGCCAGTTTTGTCTGGAGGTCGCGAAGGACAAATCCTGAATGCATGCCCAAATCTGTGAGAGATCATCCAACAAATCTGCCGACCTGAATTTGCTCTGCGACACACTTGCTGCGGCTGAGGTCATGTCAATGTTAAGAGTTGTGCGTGCTCGGGTGTATGCAGGCACACCCATGCACATGTACATACATACATACACACATACACGCATACATACATACATACGTACATACATGCATACATATACATACATACATACATACATACATACATACACACCAGTTCAACAGGCACGTGCATACAAGTTGAATGTGTGCTCATGGTGCTGCATATTGTACAGACATAAAAAAACGCATTTATATATGTATATATAGAGATATATACATACATACACATATGTATAAGGCCTTATAAGGCTGCACACACGCGCCTCTGAGCTTTCAAGTGCTTGCAACTTGCAAGTGTTCAGAGTAGCATTACGATCTGCACTTGGCCCAGATCAGTGAACCGCCGAAGCGTAACGATCCTCCTCCCGATTTTGACTTTAGTCCCTGTGCTGAATTGCCGAGAATGGCGCGGCTGCTTGCTTGGGCCAATCGGGCTGAGCCGCTTTGCTTTTGCCTGGCTGGAGAAATCTTCTCAAGACCTCTCTGCGGAAGGCAAGGCACCTCTCCCAATTGAAGGTGGCGGAAGCTCCAGGCGTCCCGAGTACACGTCCTTCGATCGGAGGGAGGTCTGGGAAAGCCCTCCAGGAAAGACGACTGCCCCAATTCCTCCACGACGGAGTCTATCAGCATTGCACTCTCTGGCGGAACTCCTGACATTAGCGGAAGCCACACATCGCAAAGTTCGAAGCTACCAATCCTGCCATGAGTTGTGGGCCTGACTCCTTCGTCAGGTGGAGCGGCAACGCGCCGGCCTTCGAGTTCTGAGAAAAGAACTGCATGGCAGTGGGGGGCAGATGGGAACATGCTGCGAATGTCCTCCAGCAGCTCGTGGAAAATCTCTTTACAAAGCTCTGGCCTCGAGGGCAAAAAACTTATGTTGCTGAGCAGTGCTGCTTACCAACGGTGGTTCTGACGCGTTACGCACCCTCTTCAAATTCATGCCGGGGTGGATTACACCTACTCGAAGCCGCAACCTGCTGCAAGTCCGGTGTTCAACCAGTCATGAGATCCTTTAGATTCTTGAAAGAGTCACAACTGCTGAGCCCAACACGACAGCTGCTCACCGAGCGGGGCAGGGCCTCATGAGCCAAATCACTTGATCACTAGAGCTCCTGGCGCATCTCAGTCCTGTTTGACCTTCCGGCCTTGCTGCAGCTCTCGGAGGGAGGCAGGGACCCAGGCTTGAATAAAGTCTCCGGCCTCAACAACGACGAGATTCCATGCACCAGTTTGGCGCCCTTTTCAACCAAGACTTGGGCCGGACTTGACCCGTCTCCGCCGGACAATGCAGCCTCTTTCCTGCCTGCCTGACAACAGCCAGGACGGCAAGACGGCACCGACAATCAAGACAGTTTGCATCTGGCCTCAAACGCATTGTAGATCTTGTTCTTCAATGGCTTGTCTTGAATCTGCACCAATCAACATAGCCAGTTGCCACCCCAAGGCTATTTGTTGCACTCATCCACGCCTTTTCAAAAAGGATGTCCCAGAGCATGGGAGCAAATCGCTGCTCCTTCGAGACGTTTCACGAGTGTGGCAGGGGGCACAGGCTTCAGGGACGCGGACCATCACCGTTCCTACCAGTTCCATCGCCGGGCAAGGTCGAGCGGAGTGAGTGGAAGTGGGAGTGGAAGTGGAGAGGAGGGGAGTGCTCTGTGATTTTGAACTGGCATGGACTGGTCTTCGTTCTGATGAACCTGCGGTCGCAGAAACGACGGAGGCAGGGATGAAACACACAAAGCATCCGCACGTCGGCGTTCTCGCCAACTACTAGCCATGCAGAGGGAGCAACAGTAAGACTTGCTTCGTGGGTTGCAAAAGCCGACTTTTCCGGAGCTGGGCCTCGAAAGCGCGGTCGTGCGCATGGAGAACCTGCACAGGAGGCTGCACAGGAGCAGGGGCAAAAGCAAGGGCAGAAGGGGAGACTGAGCTTCGATTTCCTTGCTGGCCTGGCTCTCGAAGGTCACCTGTGGCACCTTTTGCTTACTTCCCTCGTCGTGTTCACGGCACAGAGCGCGGGCTTAGGACATGGCGTGCTTCAGCAAGTTCTTCGGAAAAAGCTCTTTCACTGCCGCATCAATGACCTTGAAGCCACAAGTAGATTGGCTGCCGAAAGCAATGTGGCTGCACATACCGTCCAAGTGGCCATGAGAAAGTCCACTTCGACTAGCCAGGGCCGATCCTTGAGCGCCTCTTGCTTTGCTCTGTGCTTCAATGCTCCATGTTACTGTTGGACCCGTGACCCGCACAAAGTGCCTGAAAGAGCGAGGCAAAGACTGTGTCCGAGTATTCCTCGATCAGTGCGTCCCTCAAGCGCCAGCTGCTTCGAAAGCTTCGGATAGCAAAGGACAGCAAAGCAACTACACGTCTTGAGAGCGCGACCATGTCTTTGAGTAGAACTCGAGACCCTTCGCCGCATTTCTAAAGTACTGCTTCACCCTGCATGGCGGCACCAAAGACACTAGCTAGCTCTCCGATTTCCGCACATGTGATCTCGGATTTCTTCTGCCTCTTCTCCAATTTTGCCTGATCCCACTCCGTTTCTCTTGGAAGTATCGGCGACAGGGCCTGCAACTACGGTCAGTGAGTTCAGGGCACTGGTAGAATGCAGGGTCACACATTCAGCATATAAGTAATGCTGGGCTGCTTCTCACGTGCCTGGCTCACAGCAATGGAGATTTGGTCCTAAGATGACAGAAGCCACATCTCAAGTATAATCTGGCCAGAATGCAGCATGTGCCAAAATAGGTTCGAAGCTAAATCTAAGCAAGGCCTCTGACACCCTAGAGAACATGTCGGTCCTCCTGCCAGTCGCCATAGCCACCGCTGCTGCCACCGCCATGGCCCTTCCACCTGCAGATAAGTACAAAAATGAAAAATAGGAGCAGAGGTTGAAACTTCGGTATCAGAATCCACCAATGCTGATGCCGCATGGAGAGCCGGTGTTGCTTCTGACACCTGCCTCGGAGGCATCGCCTGGCTCTCAAGCCGGAGGGGCTTTACTTGGGCCAGATCGGAGAGGTCCCGCACAGCCAGAGTTCTTGACCGTCAATGACTGCACATCTGCAAAAACTCTCTGCAAGATATGTTTTCCGCACACCAGGAACGCCCCTGGTGCCACACGTCAAGAGCATCTAGCATCTAGCCGCGAATAGGGCTGTAAACGAAGCGGGTGGTCACACTTCCAAAGTTCTTCTCGCTTGGGGAGGACGGCTCAGGCAATAAATATGCCACCTGCACCGCCTGAAGAAGTCTTCCTCGTGACTTGTCAAACTCTCCGATGTCCCGCAGGTCCAGCTGCAACTGCTCAGAGCCCTCTGTCTTTGCCTCTTTCCAGATGGTAACGATGCGGACTGCAGCAGACAGCTTATCCACATCCAGCGGCCGGAGCTCAAAGAGTTCGGAGACACGCAACCCTCCAGGGATCTCTGGATCAGCCCGTGCGACTGCACCGGCTGCTTGCAGCTTCCATCGCCCGGCTACCTCCCAAAGCCCCTCCGTGTCCGTTTTCTTAAGCCTTGGTGCTGGACCACCCACTGCATAGGCAGCTGCCGCAGCACCAGCAGGAACACCCCCTCTGTCCTCCTCTGCGCCGGCCCCACCTTCCGGGGAGGGGCGTTCTGTCGGCATCCAGCGCCTGCGTGCTCGGAGCACGCCGGCTTCCATACCAACCTTGGCTTCTCTCTGCCATAGCATGGCGAATTGCAAGGCTAGTCGGAAGAGCTCGGAATCTCGGAAGCTAGGTTTGAAACTGCACCGTTGTTCTTTCGCATGGCGGCCGGAGTTCCTGGCCTTAGCCAGGAAGGGGTGGACAGAGCGAGTGTCACACTAGCCGAAGCCACCAGGGGTCGCGGCAAGGCCGCAGACAGGGCGTTTTCGCCCAATGGTCCCGTCTCGACCTTGTACCTGCCAGGCGAAACAAACTGCCCAGGCATCATGGAATTCCCTGTCACATGCAACTTCGTACGGCCAGAGCTTTAGCTTTTCTCGAAACAATATCCCAGACAGCAGTATCTTGACAACTCGCCCAGTCGCAACTCGCCAACTGTTGCCCAAGTCCCAGCAAACCATCGAGGATAAACAAGCTCGTCACCTGCTTCCGCATGCTTCGGCCATCCACCAAGTCTTTCTGCTGACTCTGCTCCGCTCTATGTCCAAGTCCCAGACCGATCAATCCAACAGACACCGGTGAGGCTGCAGTCTGAACCCGGTCCTCGCGAAAGAGCTGTGATTGGCCGAGCAAGAGGGCTCAGGACGTCTCTTGCTGCCCAGTCAAGCCGTGCACGTATGCATCACAACCCGTCTTGCCTGAATCTCCGAGCCCACCTTCAACAACTAAGGAAGAGCTGTACATGGAAAACCTGAACAACAGCCATCTTGCATCTTCTCTCCTCGGCTACTGCACGGGGTGTTGGCGCCATCGATGCCAGCAGAGCTCCAGCCAAAGCTTGGCGTCGTGGCCGTTGTAGCAGGAACTCCTCACTTTGGATGAAGACTCTCGGAAGCCTTGCGCCATGAGCAAAGCAGCTCTGCAGCCTTACCAGCAAGTTGTGACACCATGAGCAATTTCATGCCACGAGCCTCGCGAAGTGCCGCGAGATCAGCAGCACAAGAAAGATCTGGAGACATCGACGCATGGCCCAAGCAGGTCGCGAAGGCTCGCGCAGAATTCCGAGGCAGGCTTCAAGGGCTGTCGGTAAGATAGAACACATGCACGAAGGGTTTGTTGTCTATGCACTCCTAGTCCTAGACGTCGAGCTCTGCCCCTTGACTCTTCGTCAACTCCGTCATTGCAGCCACTGTTCCAGGAACCCCCTTTGCAGACTTGCATACACATTCAATCAAACGCGCGAAGAAGTTGAGAAGAACCGGCTTTTTGCACATGGCCGCTTCCAGAGCTGCTAGGGACCGAGATTTGTGTGAAACACAGCGCGACCTCGGCAAGAATATCAACAGCCAGACGATGGGGTAAAGGCAGACCGGCCTTCAGCACTACGCCCTTGCAAATCGGAGTACGAGTTCAAACTTCGCAAGGTGAGTCCTCTCTTTTTTCCAGCCATTGCATCCAAGGCTCTAGGCTCTAAATTCAACTTCTAGCTGCGATTCCGTTTGGTTCCGCTTCATTGGCAGCTTTTCTCACTGCAGCTGCAGAAATGGGCGCATGGAGGGAGGTCCAGGACTTGGTAGGAGGGCGAGCACTTGGTGACATTGAGACCACACGAGTCGCTGCGAAGACGTCCACGACTGGGTAGAGGGGCTCCTTTTGGGATTCTACGGCACCGTCGACTCTCACCACTGCCTCACCATCCACGAAGACCAGAAGATCTCCACCACGCGTTACCAAGAAGGCAACGCGTGCTCCGGGGTGAAGGCTGTCAGCACGCCACGCAGTCCTTTGCTCGCAACCATCAACGAAAACGCAGCCCCAGTAGCCGATGACCATGGTCTTTGGAATGCGCCAGGCCTTATCGGGAACTCGCTTCAGGCCTTGCGGAGTCGAGGACGTAACTCCAATGCCCAAACCTCCAACCCAGCCAGGAACAGTGTCTTCCACCGTCACCTCAAAGTAGCGACCGTGCTCTTGGAGAGGCACCGGGCCGGTACCCACAGCCACAGACTGCCTGCAACCACGGAACCGTGTGGCTGTGTAGCCATCCTCTGAAATTTCCAAGTTGATCCCACTGGCCTTTGGACAGAATGGTAGGAGTACGCTGGGCTCCTTGAGTGGAAAGCTCTGCTCAGGAGAGGAGGCCTGCAGAACGGAGGCCACACGCTCAGCATGCTGCTGCGCAGCGGTCATCGCAAGCGAGCTCTGCAGCCTTTCGCGGAGACCGGTGACTTCCTCACTCAATCGGCAGATGTGACCATCCTGGTCCTTGATCTTCTCCCACACGTCGGGCTCCGGCTCTGGGTCAGAGTCGTGCTGCAATCTGCTTTGGGCAGTTTGAGCTTGCTGCTGGATGGCAGCCCTGGTCTGCTGCATCTGCGACATTAGGTCCACACGAGCTTCCAATGACTCCAGCAAGGCCAGGAATTGCATTTCGGTGTTGTCCTCGGTGTCCTCCCATGGAGTCCTCCAAGACCCGTTCACATTGGCAGCCTCATCGCCCAGCTGGAAGTGTTCTTGCTGGGGATCATTCGGATCCTCGAAATACTCGTCTTCCTGGGAGTCTGGCCACGCGTGGGGAGCAAGCCGCACTTGCGGCACTTGCCCGTATCCTTCCCCTCCAAAGGGCTCTGCATAGATACGGTCTGCCGGCAGTGGATACAGCGCCTCGGCTGGTCCATACATGTCACTGTGACACGGACCGCCTGTCATCGGTGCATAGACAGGAATGTGTGGCGTCGGCACGGGCACAGGAGGCCCTTGTGGCACAGGCTGTGTCACGGCCTGGCGTGTTACCACACCTGTAGTAACACCATGAACGACGTGCACTGGCCCTGGATGAGCCGGATGCGCTGTGGGCCCAAGTGCAGGAACAGCCCACAAAGCACTCATGGCTCTGAAGCCGGAAGATTTTGAATTGCAAATAATTCTGGATATATACCATCTGCCGCATGCACAAAGGTATGTGACATCTACCCGACATATGGCTTCTCGCACATGCAGCATCTATGTAGTCCAAGTTTGAGCCCTGGTTCATAGCTGCGGCCAGAGAACATGCCAACCCATCTGGATGCTGCCAACGTGCCAACGCGCACAGACGAGGCTTCAACGAGGGACTAGCACGCGCACTCGCTGTCTCGTCTGCGTCCTGCTAGCACCCGGGTGTCTACAGCGTGACGGGCCGTGACAAACAGTTCGCGCAAGAGGTGCGGCATGCGGTGCAGCGCCTTCTTCCTCAAGGTGGATTGCCTCAGACTGCGCATTCTGGCTAGATCTGTCGTATGGGGAAGATTGTCAACTAACTTGACAAGTCTGTCGAGGATATGCAGTCACACACGTGCAGCACCATGATGGCATGCTATGCCGCACCTCCGGATAGCCAGACATGTCAAGTCGGGCTGGATTTCGGCCCAACTCCTTCTGTGTCTGTATGATGCCTGACGCAAGTCTTGCTTGTCACCGCGTAGTCCTGCAGAATCCTGAGCCGGCCTCGCACTAGTCTGAGGAAGATCTGCTCCACTCCAACAGCTAAGTCCTTGTGTCGACAGATACTCACTGACTTGCATCGTCAAACTGTCCACTCGAGCCTTCTCTCCACCTTCATATTTGTTCCAGTAGGCAGAGGTCTCCTGACGAAGCCGAGCGACAAGGCAAGGCAAGACCTCCGAAAGAGCAACTAAGAGACAAATGCAGCAAGTTTGCAACAAGAAGCATCCCTGTCCACGTAAAGAAGTCCATTGCCTCTTGCATATCCTGCGAGCTTCAGAACTGTCGCGGACGAACTGAAGGCATTCTCCACTGAAGCTTCCGCTTCGAAGTTGCGACGCTTCGACGCGACCCTGCGACGCTTCGCGACCGAACGGTGAGAACCCTGCGAGGCCCGAAGCCGATTCCTTGTGCTCTCTCCGTCGACACTGCTCTTTGAGCCGAAAGGTCGGCCTTGGTGCCGACCTGCAGCCACAGGGCCCTTCTCTTCTTTCTCCAACAAGAGGAAAGTTGAGGAGCTGGCCAATGCAACTACCACCTCTGCACAGGGACAGGGCATGGCAGGGGCGTGGCAGGGCCACAGGGGTAAGCCAAGGGCTTTGAACACGATATCGCAGCCAAGCTGCACTGGGATCGGTATTCTCACGTAGCTCTGCCAACCACTTGTCCAAGTTTTGGAAAGAGCGTCTGGACAAGGCGGAGTCAAAGCTTGCCGCTCTTGGACGTGTGGTGGGGGGCACTCATTGGCGATGTCGAACACGAGCAACGCCCCGTCGGCCGCCCGATAATGACTCGGCAAGGCAGGAGTCATTCTGATAATTCACGCTGCAACACATCCTACACCAACAAGTTGATTCAGACGAAGGAACCTGACACGTCGCTTGAGAACTGTGTTGGCTTTGGTCATGTGGCCTACGGTCTACTGTAGATAAGAGCAGCCACCATACCCCCGAGCCTACACGCACAGGTGTGATGCTCGCTCGAAGTGGCAGACACGCACCACAGATGCTGGGCCACCGCCGAACTCAGACATACACGTAATGGGTTCCGATCACACTCAGCTGGAGACTGCGTAGTGACCGATTGGAACTTCTCTTGTCCGGCCGTATCCTAGCAAGAAAGGCTCTTTCAGGCTTCCTGCATCTCCAGGCTGTGTGCCGAACCCATATTTGGAGAGGATATTGCTGGCTCATCAGCGGGTCCATCAGGGTCCTGGGTTTCTCACTCATCCGGACGCATGCTTTGCTCTAGAGTTCTTAGGATCCACGCTGCTTGAAGAACGAGATGCCAACGGTAGCTTTGGGATCTGCCAGAAGCCTGCACTCATCAGTCACTTGTCGTCATGGCTTTTTGCTTCTGCACTCGCTTCTCGCTTCGGCACTCTTGCTGCATGGCAGTTGCGACCTCGCAATTCCACACTTACCTCACCAAGACTTGCGGCACAGCAACGTGTTGTTGATGAACCGGTAGACCAGAGCAGACTTTCCCACCTGGCGCAATGCTGTCGATAGGCTGTTGAAATTCCTTTTCCCCTCCAAAGTAAGTGGGCCAGTAATGCCGAACTGTCTCCTATCAGAACCACTTTCATCCTGGCAGCAGGAGTCAGGAGAACATTGAACTTTCGTGGTGCTCCGTGGTCGGCCAGAGAGGAGCATGTTGGGTGCTCGGATTGTCAAGCGAGGAAGGGTTGCTTTGAGGCCTGTGCAGCCACGCCACACACACAGGTCAGTGGATCATGCAGGTAATATCGAATTCCGGTGTAGCTTGTGGAACATGGTACCATGACGGATGTTGCCTGATGCCTGGACATGACATGACACACGCTGCAGTCCACCGTGGCATGCCATTCTGCTGGCTGACGAAGAGATCACTATGGAGTGGCATAATTGCTGCTGGTCGGAAATGACTGATGCTGAGTCGCAAGCGAGTAGATAGAGCCCGAACATGCCATGACCATGCATTAAAACAGCATTAGTTGACTAGTTGATTTTCCAGTATTCATCCAACTACGAGCAGCTCTCGGCAAACACTCTTCTCCGGCACCCACGCACGTTCTCATCTGTACATGACCACTCAAGTGTGAGAGACACCTTCTCACACTCAAGCCTGAAGGATCACCTCGAGCCTGGTCCCTTTGCTCAGCTGCTGTCCATCGTGCCATCTTCGACAAGGTCCCTTCCAAAGATGCCCGACCCAGTACTGCATTGATTCCGAACGTCGGGACAGCAGCAGAGGCTCTGACTGGGCTCCCTACCGAAATATACATGCGTCTACAGGACACAAGGTGCTTTGTACAAGCCGCACTGCCGATGCATTTCATGGCTTTTCGACCTCCCGGGACCTTACTAGTCGATGCTCGAGGATGGCATGCACGCACCTTCAGCCAGCTGCACAGTCAAACTTCAGGCGGCGGCGCGGCGCAGAAAGCATCGTCCACGAGTTCCACGATTTTCCCCAAACCTGACTCTCACACCAAGATGAACCGCTTCACCACTTGGCCACCGAAGCAGAACGCAGCGACAGCGCGGCGAAGCCAGCTAAGAGAGACCTCGAAGACGGACTTTCAGATTTCTAGGTGGTGTCGTCCGGATCAAGAAACTCAGGAAGTCCTTTAAGGCATAGAGGCAGCACGATGGTCTGCAAATTCTCGACTCACATGTCCGTTCAGTTCACCAACCAACTCCCTCAACATAAGGCCGATGGCTGGCATGGTCTTTCAGCCCCTTTACAGTTGACCTTTCAGGAGCACAAGCGGTGCGAGGAGGACCGTGCGCATCAGTGCTGCGGCGATCAGAACTTGTTTCGGAACTCACGTAAGTTAAGCCATTCTGCTTTGCTGTAAGCAGCTGGCAGAGTGCCTTCCAGGCGACGCTACGAAGCCGGCTTGCACAATAGAAACACCGAATTCGCGCACTGGAAACAGCCGATTCGCGCACTTGCCGAATGGTTTGCAAGGCGGATTCGCGCACTCGGACCCGCGTTCCCGCACCAGGGACACGCGAACTGGGCAAGCAGATTAGCGCACAGAGGATTCGTGCACCAGCACGAAGGATTTGCGCACCAACTCTTCGAAACCTAAACCCTAAATCTAAACCCTGCAAAACCATAAACCCCAAGACCCTATAAAGCCCTGATGCTAAACCCGAAATCCCAAAGTCCGGTTTTACGAGGTGGCTGGCACTTCCAAAGAACTGAAAACCCTAAACCCTAATGTGAAACGTAGAACTGTGGGAAAGGCCGATCGTCTTGCAAGCTGAGCACATCGCTTCAGCGCACGCACGTCGAGCCGGATTTGTCTTTTACGTTTTGCTCTGGCCAGCTCAAGGCCTTGCATGTCATTTGCGTAGTGCAACCATGTTGCGGTGATTGCTTTCACTTCCCATCTAAGTGCAGCCGATCGCGTATCGCTCCAAGCCAGAATTGTTTCCACCTCCTCTCTAATTGCAACCTCGCGTGACGTGAGAATCGCAGATCAGGATGCCGGGGTTGTGACATGGGACATTCATTCACATATAACCCCATATCGCGAAACTCTGAAACCCCAAAGCCTTAAACCCTCAAGCATAGAACCCAAAACATCGGCTTGCCTGACCCGTCAACCTGTGCATACTCCAAACCCGAAGTCCCTAAACCTTTGAACGCCACCGTCCAAACCCTAAACTAAAACCTTGAAAACCCCGGCTTCCCACAAACCAAAAAACATCCCTGACTGTCTAAGTAAAACACCCTGAAGAACAAAACCCTGAATAATTAACCCCACTCAACTGAACGCGAGACCGTACACCCGAAACCCGCAACCATGAAACCCTCAACCACACCCTCTTCCCGTCGGCTGTTGCTTGAATCACAGGTGCTGGCATCGCGCGTGCTTAAGCCACGGGTACCGGAATCGGAATTACTTCTTAAATCACGGGTGCTTGAATCGCGGGTTCTTGAATCGCCGGTGCTTCAATCCCGGGCTCGAATCGGGCACAGGGGACAGTGCTGGAGTATCGATTTCACGCTGCAGCGACATACCTGAAGTCTCTTCCGTTGCCCTTAGTTTCCGATCGGGCTTCCCAGGGTAAAGGTTCAAATTCGCAGTAGCCTGACTTGCCTCTGGGGCAGACCTTGACAGAGTTCGACTTCGAGTACTACTGAGTACTCATCTGCTGTATGCTGTCAACAAGTCTTTCTGCCTCTCTCATCATGCGGTCAGCAGCCTGCCTTTGGTGCGACCCTCGCGGAAAAGAAGAGTCTCACCCAGACCTCAGAGCTGGCCGATCCGTGGGGGCAGCAACACCGGCTAAGCTGAGCGGTGCACAGACATATTCCGCATGATAGCACCAGCGGAACGTCACAATGGCCTTCTCAAGCCCATGCAGTCGGATCAACTTTAGACTTTAGACCTGGCTTGCCTTGTCTCCAGAGCGCAACAATTCACAGGACATGTTCTTGACAGCCGCACATTGGCCTTAGCAAAATGCCGCGATGCAGCCTACGAGTCCTCGGAGCACTAAGTTACGGTAGGAAAGGGTAAGTCTGCCACGAATGATGCCACAATGGATCATGGCCTGGCAAGGAACCAAAGCTGCTGGAACAGCTTCTCAGAAAGGCATCTGCCTGCCTGGTATCCTTCCCTGATGGTGGTGGCATGGTGTAAGATCACTACCTGTTTGCTCTTAGGAAGCACAGCAGCAAAGCTTCAAAGTGAGCAACCTGTCCACACCTCCGTGTGTTGGCGCAAACTCCGAATCGAATGATCTTTTGAGTCTCCGCAGAAGCAGCTGGTGTAATATCTCGTGTCTCTCACTTCTTGCCCTTGAAGTTCTTGGAGCCTCCAAGCGATGCAAGCACGGCTCTCCATCAATCCGCGTCTCACTGTGCAGAGACTCCCGTAGGCACCGCACCGCCAGCAGGCGCTCCTCCGCCCTTGGGAAGCTTCGCGCCCTGCCAGAGGAGCTGGGCGCGCGGCTGCGGTATTCGCATCCCATCGCGAGCGCGCGCTGCGTGCGGTCCTTGTCGGCCTTGCCCTTGGGCACCGCATGCTTGCCTCGGAGAGAGCGTCCAGGAGAGTCGAGGCGCCATCTCTCTCGGCTGAGCTCTCAGCTGGAGGCAGCCTTCTTCTTGTCTGCCTGCTGCTTGGCTTTGGCCTCCTTGCCGCGAGGAAACTCTGGCTGACCCCTGCCGGCCCTTACCATCCCTGCGCCTTCGCAGCCTGCTCCCTTGCCTGGCGCAGCTCGGGCCTCATCGCCTTCCTGATGCAAACTCGAGAATGCCACGATGAGTGCAAGCACGCTTACTTTTCGGCGACCCAAGCTGGACCGTCAGACTTTACGAGTGACCGGGCGTGCAGCCATGGCACTTCTTCTTGAGGTCATCCAGAGACATGCCGACGATAGCCTTTTGGAACTTCTGGGCCTTTGGAGGCAGCAATGGAGGTGCAACACATCAACGAGGTTTGCCCGCAGCCTTCCGGGCTTTCTTCTTGCCACCCTCCTCGACCTTGCCCTTCTTGTTTTGCCGACGCCAGGCTTGAGTCCAGCGGAGCTTCACCTCGTGGACCCACAGCTGACCACACGAATGGACAAACGGGAGGCCTGCGCACAAGGCTTATCTCCACTTCCATCGCTGCAGGTACCAGAAGCTGCCGGTGCTGCCAAACCTTCTCTGAAAGCATCCCGGGTTCGGCAGGGCGGCTGGCTTGATGCGCTGGTGGTACAGCGAGTCCGCTTTGGCAGAAATGAAGAAGTTGACCTTCAAGGTTCGGTGCGGGATGGTGTGGCAGCATCCGACGACGGACGCAGAAGCACATGACGAAATCATTATGCGACACGTGTAGAATGGTGCGTGCACCCGCATAAGTCACAGGAGGCCAAACATCTCAAGCCACAGCGTTGTTAGACAACATACATGACCAGACAAGATGATGAGCCAGATTGCTGGCCATGCAGTTTTCAAGTGTTGCCTTGGCGTCCTTCGCCACAAACTTCTGACCATGTCCAGGGTAGATCCTGTACCTCAGTCGTGGATAGTCATTGCATTGAGAAGCACTGTAAATCAAAGTGCACGCGGAGAAATCCCAAGCAAGCATTTGGCCGGGGTGCTCTGTGTAGTTGCACAGGTCTGTCTTGATGACCATGGCTCTGCTACCTTCGGAAACCTATGCCACAATTTGCACAAACAGCTGCAGCTGACAGCCACGCCTGGCGATGCCAGAAGCTTCTTGTGATTCTTGTGCTTTCTGCGTGCGACACTGCTACCCAATCGACACAAAGCATTCAACTCTTGTTCCGCAATAGCAGCTGTGGTGGCGCGCGATGTGTTTTCATTTACGCTCACTTCTTGCCCTTGAAGTTCTTGGAACCTCAGGACCGCGGCACAGAGAGTCGGCATGCTTGGAACATGCAAAACATGAACCACAGACACTTTCCAGCCAAGACTCCACCGGCTGGGGCACCTCCACCCTTCGGCAACTTCGCACCCTGACAGAAGGGATGTGGGCCGAAGCTCAATCTGATTCCAGGAGTCTCGAAGGAACTTGTGAAGAGCGCATGGCAAGAGAGCACAAACGTCCGTCGTCTGAAAGAAGAACGAGAATCGCCACGGCGAGAAGCTGAGACAAACCGGCCCAAGGTCTGCAATGTCTGCAAAAAGGTCGCCGACAAACTCGCTTGCAAACATGCGGTGCTGATCGGCTTGGATGCCAACTATGTGTCAAACGGCGACGGCTTGGGATGATGATAGCCGGATGTCCACTTGCACTGGTTCCACAAGCTTCCAAACCGGGTCAGGGCTTTGTGCTCAAGGGATTCCCAAGAAAGGTAGCTGAGCGACAAACTAGTGCTTCAAGCATTGCGCGAAGTAGAAGCCGCAAAGCAACGAAATGTTTGCAAAAGCAGCCCTGCCACGACTGCGGAGGCAGTTTCGTTTCAATGTGGATGCAGATGTGCAACCTTTTGCGACGGCACAGCAAGAGCACGACGCAAAATCAGGGTTGGGATCACGTCACCACAACTTGGAGACACAACCTTCTTCGCGAGTCAAAGTGGCAGCACGGCATGTGGGGATGTGAAGAGAAGGTCACGCATGGTGCAACTAGTTCTCTGGCCCAAGATCTTTCGGAAGCTTCTAGACTTCGAAGGCGCGTGTGCTACATGAGGCACGAGCGTCGAACTCTCCGCGGAAGATGCTTGGTGAGGGATTCACGAAGAGCTTTGTCTTCGAGTGCTCTGGTACAGGTACAGCGGGCCTTGTCGGCTTTTCCCTTGGGAACTGCCGGCTTGCCTTTCAGCGACATCAGAATTCCCGGCAAAGGATGCTGCGGGCACAATCGGGCATCGGATCTGAGCTCCTCACTGGAAGCTGCTTTTTTCTTGTCTGCCTGCTGCTTGGCCTTGGCCTCCTCGGTACGCGGCCCACGCCAAGACGCAGTCTTGCAGCCTTGCTCCGACCCTGCATGGAGCTACGAAATCAAAGAGTCAAATTGCAAGCCGGCCAAAGCATGACCCGATGCACGGTTTGCAAGTTCCAAGAAATTTTCTGGAATTCTCAGGTGTGCCCATGTGATTCGCAGCAGGTCTCCTTTGCGGCCTGCTCCCGTGCCTGGCGAAGCTCAGGCCTCATGGCTTTCCTGAGAGAAAAACACGTCAAGGAGGCTCTCAATGCGAGGCGACTGCGACAAGACACTTCTTCTTGAGATCATCCAAGGACATGCCCACAATCGCTTTCTGAAACTTCTGCGCCTGAAGATCACTCTGGTTGAAGTGCAAGTGTTCTTGCCGAGCAAAGACTGCAAGCAGCCTTCCGGGCTTTCTTTTTGCCACCCTCTTCGACCTTGCCCTTCTTGTTCTGCCGACGCCAGGCTTGAGTCCAGCGGAGTTTGACCTGGCAAAGACATCACGAACACATGTTCCGGGAGGCCCATGGCAGTCAGTAATCTGGCAAGTGGCCGGCTTGATGCGCTGATGGTACAAGGAGTCTGCCTTGGCTGAGATGAAGAAGTTCACCTCGAGAGCAGTTTACTTGGGGTTTCAAGCCAGCGATTCGGATGGCTTGCCTTTGCGTCCTTTGCCACGAACTTTTGACCGTGGCCGGGGTAGATCCTGTACCTGTTGCATTCGTGAAACGGAAAGCTGGCTTCATGGGATCCATCCAAGGCACTCCGTGTAGTTGCAGAGGTCTGTTTTGATGACCATGGCTAGAGCAGAGGAGCAGAGCTGGCGGGGTGACGCTCCACGAACAGCTGCTGAGCATTCGATGGCAGCGATTCAGGTTCAGAAAGCCATGCACGTGGATTTTGCACATGCACGCAGCGCACACAGGCCTCAGCCTTGAAAGACCAAATGGCCCTCGGTTGCAGCTCCGGGCCGAGCATCACCTCAAGCGGCTCTGCACTGTGTGCAAGCGGGTGAAGGATTCGGGGCCGAGGGTCCGGCCATGCCTTTTCTGAACATGCTCTTCTTTAGCGTCTCCTGCGGCGCAACATGTTTCTTCTGCATCCGAATAAGAAGATTTACTTGGACCTGGCACCCCCCGCGCCGACAAACTCAAATGCACCGCTTCCGAACATGGGCACCCTCTTCACCAGAGAACGAAGGGCGAAGCTGCAGTGCCTGAATCACTGAAACATGCTGTGAATTTGTCCCGGTACAATGCTCCAAGCTTTGCGCAATATGTGGGAATCACAGCCTTTGTTTGAATCACAAGATACATGCCGAGTGCCGGACTGACCACTCTCAGCCATATCAACAGTGACACGCTTGTACTGAATGGTTTTGACCTGGCAGATTAACACATATATGAGAAATGCCACATTGCGCTAAACTTCGCACTGACACGGCCGGCCATGCATTCGGCCATGAAAAAGAACAATTCTCTGCAGAGTATGGGCTGGTAAACACTGCCCAGCCACCATAACCGGCTTGAACCTTGCAAGTCGAGTCAAGAACAAGGACGAAAGCCCAGATGCACCGGGAACAATCGAGGAACTCTCCCTGCAACGGGCACCCGGCTGGCTCACTTTGTCTGGACCCAGAAGCAGATGCTGTCCAGGGCATATACGACCTGATCCTGTGCACGAACAGTGCACACACAGCACACCTTTGAGGAATTGCCTAAGCCAGGGGTGCGGCGAACTACACCGCCAACGACCAGACCAACACCAGGCACGACGTAGATGGAGTCAATGTGAAACTCAGCTGGACCTTGGGCACAAGAGCTTCAGCTGAGATGGGACACACAAACGTTCATGTCTGAACACCAGAAATCTGGGCGAACGACTGCTTGGTGGTTTGAAGAGACCGCTGTCCTACGGCACCACGCTTTGTCACACAAGGGTCTACCCTCAGAAGCAGCGAGGTGATGCTCGACCACTATACCCACTATCACTATCCCGAATCTGAAACCACTCCTGTAGCCTTGATGGCAGCCGTTGCAGGAAAGAACGCAGCAGGGGAAGACCTCATCTCTGGCCGCTCAAATCGGGAAAGGACAGCAAAGAAGACAACATTTGCCCAGACCTTCACTCCAGAACAATGTGCATGTCACGAACTCGCCACATCGACTGCAATGACTGCAAAAATCAGCGGCAACTGTGAGTTTCAGGCCCTCTCCCGTTACGTTGGAAATGCAGAACATGGGACACACCTGCGCGAGAACATGGGACACACCTGCGCGAACTGAAAATTTGCAATGCCCGAACCGTCCCTTTAAGGTGCTCGGAACAGTTCACATCAGAGCAATCGCCACAGCATGCCGAACAACTCAGCCTGTTTGCCGTAGATTCCGGAGGCTGCTTGCTCCAACTGGTCATCGCTTGTCACCACAAGAGGCTGCCGCTTCACTGCATTTGACCTCTGCAGGTGGGGAAATCATGGACCATGTTGTGAGACATGACTTTGCAGAAGCGACAGGATGTAGTGCGCCAAGTTCCCAGCTTCACGATCTTGTGGAGCTGTGCAAGATTCTCGTCGAAGACATTCCTTCGAAGAACATTAGGTTCATGCCCATTGGACTTGTCAACCGATAAGTTCACAAGCACAATCTGCAGGTAAAGAACTGGGGCGCGATGTCAATCTTCGTTATGACGATGAAGAACGGAATGCGCAAGGCAAGCGCAATTCCCAAGTGCTCGCGCGACATGCGCTGGAAGCCAGCATTAGCATTCACTATGATCATCGTGTAGTCCGGGCCTGCAGTGCCGAATATGCAGCGCTGAATAAGCTGAAATGACGGTATCAAGGGCAGGGACATTGCCCCACCAATCCAAAGATGGTAGTCTTGAGGTATTTTTCATGGCCACACAGGTCGCTGAAGGTCACCAATCTTTCCGATTGGCTTACCACCTGTGTGGGGCATGTGGTAGACTCACGGACTCATTCAGACTGTCTTCCTGTGATCGACGTTCGTGGCTGCAACAAGCAATGCCGCAAGAATAATGCAGAGTTCGGACGGCATCACATGTTCTGCAGAGCTGTGAATTCTGTGCATATGTCGCCCACCTGTTGCCAAGTCTGATTTCGCGAACTGGCCGTGGAAGTACCCATTCTGTCAATGAGCACCTGGGGTTTGGCTTTCACGGGTTCTTCTGCTTGCCTCGCTTGGACTTGCTGCCCCGGCGAAAGACCCTCACACCCCGCCTGCTCACCCGTTGGCGAGAAGCCCATAATCTCCTCCAAGAAGGACAAGTCACAAAATGAATACGAGTGTGTTTGAAAAGCACTGCCAAGAGACAGCAGTTTGGAATCGTCCTGTGCGATACTGCTGGTTCTGCCGTTGGCCGCTTCGTGCGAGAAATTAAACACCTGGAGCACTCACAGTCGATGCACTGGGCGTGCTTCATGTAAACATGTCCGAACATTTCCAGTCATATGGCATCGTGTGCCTTGGCCCGTGCCAGGCCCCTTCCATCATCCAACCCACCTTTGGTGAGAACTCCAACCAATGTCGACTTCCCGCTATCCACATTGCCGATGACCTGAGACAACATCCTGTAGATCGTGCGAGTTAGGCAGTACACCTGCCGCACGGTGCAGCTGCTTCGCTGGGCTGCTTCCGAGCCACTGCCACTGTAACATCCTTCATTTGAGCTTCGACCCAATCGTCGCTGAGATCATCTAAGCTGATGCCCTTATGCTGATGTCCATCAACATCTTCTTCATCGTCGTCTGAAGTGGATCGGTCCATGTCCTTAGCATCCGGCAATAAGACAAAACATGATCAGTTGACTCGTTGTGGTAACTCCGCCTTCGGTTTCAGCGTCTCTTCTTTGGACGCTTCTGCGACGCATGGCTTCTCCAGCTTCTCCTCCGGAGGAATTGAACAACTGAGCCGAAGATGCAATATACTCTGCCAGCGCCTCGGTTTGGACCGTCATGGTCGAGAAACTAGCGCAGGACGGCGGCGTGAATTGCAATATAACAAAAACACAGAAGCATGATACCCCCAGCTTGTGAAAAGAAACTGCCCGGGCACATAGCCGAAACCCACACCCTGAAGCTGAGCAGCCTCTCTAACCACAACGTCAGAACTTTGACAACCTGATAAAGTTTCCCGTTTCCGCAAGCGACAGTCGCGTGTCTGTAATCTGACGTAAACAGCTGCGGTTGCCGAAAACTACTCCACAAGCGAGTGGTCCTGTTGCGTGCGGGGGACAAAGCTGGCCAAAATGAATGAGGAATTCCACTAAGATTGTCACTGACAAGATCTATCCTCAGGTTGTCAAGACCTTGGACAAACTTCAGCCAAAACATACTTGTAGTCGTAGACGTCGCGATTTTAACCCAGGTTTGAACCTGGGTTTGGCTCCCGCCCTCGGAGAGGGGGGCAAACAATTACATCCAAGCACAGCTGTGTACGACACACATGAATTCCGCATGGCCTATGAGCGACATGAAAGGACTGCAGGAGCACTCAAAACACGTGAGGAAAACATAAACACAAAACAATTCCATCACCTTTTCCTCACCTCCAAAATCCGTCCTTCACCGGACAGACATCGTGATCACCCCGCCAATCATGGCAAATGACCAACGTGTAAAGACGACATGTTTCACACGATTTCAACAGAAGCTACTGAGCGCTCACACTGCACATGTCCGCTCAACGTCACACTCTGACCAAAACGCCGACAAGTGTGCACACAGCGCCATGGGCGGACGTACCGCACTCCAAACCTTCGGGCGTTTTTTTGAGGCACTGCGAACAAGCACTATGTGCACCTTCCTACCTGACCTGTAGACCTGGCCTTGCGCGCACTCCACTTTCAAGAAGGCTTTCAAGCAAGACTTGTTTCACCACCATCGCTGAATCAAAAATGCCTCACATGCACTCTTTGCAGAAGTCTTTCACCTGGAGTTCTAAGTACACCGCACAGGTTGCTCCAGCTCCGTAAGCTGATGACTTAAGCAGGTCATTACACATATGCATCTGCGGGTGCACAGCGACCCAATCTCTTCAAGATGGGAGAGTCTCATGCGAAGATTTCACAAATTCAGCACTGTCTTCACTCGGACAAGTAAGAGAATGCTCTACAAGACTTGTGTGACTCTCACTCCTCCGAGAACAAGACATGTATCACGCAATACTTTTGACATCGGGCTCACTTACTCTGGAGGCCCCTCCAGCACTTGGCAAAAATCTCGACAATTTCCGGACCCAGAAGCGGGCCCGTGGACAGCATAGAAAACTTAAACAGCAAACTTGCCAAGTCTTCCCCAAATCTTGGAAAACTACTGTGTGGAAAATCACAGAAACCCGCAATTGGAAACCTAGACAATCCAAAGGAACCAAGGAAGACCGACAGAAGGAAACAGACAGAAAAATGAAAAACCATGAGAAACTGCAAAGAAACAGCTCAGGAACCCTTAGGCAAAACGAGGATTAGACTCTCGAGGCGTAGTCGTACCTGG